GATGATGATGATGATGAGAAGGAGGATGATGATGATGATAATGATGATGATGATGAGGAGGAGGAGGAGGAGGAGGAGGAGGTAGAGGTGGTGGAGGAGGAGGAGGAAGGAAGGAGGAAGGAGGAAGGAGGATGGAGGAAGGAAAAAGGCCCTGCCGGCCCTACCGGCCTTATACCAACCCTGCCCTAGCTGCCGGCCCTACCGGCCCTGCCGGCCCTACCGGCCCTGCTGGCCCTGCCAGCCCTGCCGGCCCTACCGGCCCTAATTACCGGCCCTAATTACCGGCCCTGCTGGCCTTGCCGGCCCTGCCGGCCCTGCCGGCCCTGCCGGCCCTGCCGGCCCTGCCGGCCCTACCGGCCCTACCGGCCCTGCCGGCCCTGCCGGCCCTGCCGGCCGCTGCCGGCCCTGCCGGCCCTGCCGGCCGCTGCCGGCCCTACCGGCCCTACCGGCCCTGCCGGCCCTGCCGGCCCTACCGGCCCTACCGCCCCTACCGGCCCTGCCGGCCCTGCCGGCCCTGCCGGCCCTGCCGGCCCTGCCGGCCCTGCCGGCCCTGCCGGCCCTGCCGGCCCTGCCGGCCCTGCCGGCCCTGCTGGCCCTGCCGGCCTTGCTGGCCGGCCTTACCGGCCCTACCAGCCCTGCCGGCCCTGCCGGCCGCTGCCGGCCCTACCGGCCCTGCCGGCCCTGCCGGCGTTGCCGGCCCTGCCGGCCCTGCCGGCCCTGCCGGCCCTACTGGCCCTACCGGCCCTACCGGCCCTGCCGGCCCTGCCGGCCCTGTCGGCCCTGCCGGCCCTGCCGGCCCTGCCGGCCCTGCCGGCCCTGCCGGCCCTGCCGGCCCTACCGGCCCTACCGGCCCTGCCCTGCCGGCCCTACCGGCCCTGCCGGCCCTGCCGGCCCTGCCGGCCCTGCCGGCCGCTGCCGGCCCTGCCGGCCGCTACCGGCCCTGCCGGCCCTGCCGGTCGCTACCGGCCCTGCCGGCCGCCGCGCGGTCACGTTCAGTCTCTGTTTTTTTTCTGGGTCGCCCTGGCCCATCAGGAGCATCTGGAAGGTCTGCCGTTGTGCCCATGGCTTGTCTTCTTTCTCGTCATCCCATACGGTGTTGCAGGCCTCCGCGAACTTCGCCAGGAACAACGTCTGGTCCCGCTTCAGCGTGCGCGGAACTCGCTTCCCGGCGGTCGGGTCGACGGGGCCCCGCTCGAACTTCTCCGCGAGATGTGCCGCGTAATCGCTTGGGCGGCGCCAGGTGTCATTGGGCGCGAAGTACGCCTTCGGCTCGGGGCGGCGCCGCGGAGGCCGGCTGTTAGAGTGTTCTGCATGCGGGTCCAAAGGACGACCGCTGTCATCTGACGCAGGGGGCACGGGGCCGTCCTGTGCCGACGACCCCCCCTCATCTTTCTTGGAGCTCCAGGACTTCCTCTGGGCGTCCACCAGCTGTTTCAGCACGGCTGGTTCTAGGTGCGCCAGCATGTCGTAGCGCAGCAGGATGTCGTCCTTCACGCGGGTCGCGCGCTGATCGGCACCGTCCTCGCGGTTCCGTGGCGCGGGCAGACCGCCGTCGTCCAGGGTCATCACGGACGTGCTCATGAGCTCCTTCACGAATCTTTGGGTCCGGTCTGCAGTGTCGAAGCGGAGGATCTTGTTCAGCCGCTCAATATCGAAATGATGGGTAATGGTCGTGTCTGAGCCGAGGGTAGCGAGGCCTGCCGTGGCACGCAGGGCGGCCGCCTCGATCTGGCCGTCCGCCTCGCCGTCGTCCTCTCTCCCATGTTGTTCGATGACCTCGGGGGCGGCCACGTCGTCGTCGGCCCCCCTCTTCTGTCTGGGCTCCGTGCGCGCTCGGGCGACGCACGCGAAGTTTACCGAGGTCTCTGTTGTCATCAGCGCGACGTACTCCTGGACCGAGGGCAGCAGCTCGCCCTCCCTGTCCGGAAGCGCATGCGCGCCATCGTCGTCCGGAAGCGCAGCGCCGGTTCCCCTGCTGCGTTTCTCTTCGGCGTCGATCTGGAACAGCCGCTGGCGCACCTCCGCTGTCCGCCACAGACTGGGCGCGCTGGCGGCCAGTCGCGTCTTGCGCCGCGCCTCGCAAGCTGCCTTCTCCTGCTCCAAGAGGAAGGACTGCCAGCCGCGCTGGAACGGCCCCGGGTTCCCAGGGCCCAGGTTCTCTACGGGCCATTTCTCTTCGCCGGGAGGTGCCGTGCACAGCGCCTGGTACGCCTGCTCCACGCGCATGTTCCGCGAGTTGCTCTCGTCCGTGGGCTGAGGGTACACGGGGCGGAGAAGTATGGACATCATCATGTAATGCGGTTCTGCGTCCGACTCTGAGATGAACTGCATGCCCTTGGGCATCGGCCCCCGCGGCTCCATCGCGAGTCGCTGCGCGAAGGTCCCGCGTGACGGGTAGGCGTCGTCGAAGGGGATGTCCACGTGCCGCGTCGGAGGCGGGCGGTCTGAAGATTTCCCGCGCGCGGTGATGTTCTTCTCAGCGCGGTACACCCACATGCTGCACACGTAGAGGTTCATGTCGCGGACGATCGGGTCCGTGCCTCGATGCAGCCAGTCGTCCAGCTGACTCATGACGAAAGTAGTAGATTTGCGCCCCGTGGCATCGGCGCCGAGGATGTTGCCCGTCGGGTCGGCGGGGGCGGGGATCTCGTCCTCGGCGGCGCCCTCTTTCGGTTCTCTGGTCAACTTGTTGAGCGTCCTGACGGCCGCGTCCGGGTCGGCGCTCGCCTGCCCCGAGCGCCTCTGCGACTTCAGAGTCTCTTCGAGGAAGTCCAGGGAATTGAACTCCTTGCCGTCGGGGTCCGTGTAGACTCTCCAGCCGTCACTCACCCGGCTCCGCCAGCCGGGGAGGAGTTCCACCTCGGTGCCGTCAGAGCAGGTGTAGGTGGGCTGGCAGTGCTCATCCTCCTTCTGCTGTGTCTCCAGCTGGCCGTAAGCAGCGCGCCAGGCCGAACCCGCGTGCCAGATGGCCTTGCGCAGGAACATGTTCCAGCAGCGGTGCGTCGAGAACGACATGTGCCCGAAGAGCATCGGGAACGCCATCTCGCAACCGCTCTTCCAGGAGGCCCGGCGGAAGCACGACTCCATGCGACTGGGGAGCAGTACGACTCGCCTCCAGGCCTGCTGCCTGCGCGCGGCAGGTGTATCATTTTCTCCATCGCGTGGCGCATCGTCTGCCTTGCGCCAGTCGTCGGTCAGGCGGCGCACTCCGGCCAGCAGCCTCTCGAGCACGGTGTCCATCGTCGGGTTCACCTTCGTTGTGTAGGAGTTGATGTAGTAGCCTGTGTTGTGAGCGTCCACGAACATCGCTATGGCACGCTTCCTTCCTGCCTCGAAGAGCGGCCCTGCCTAGTCGCGTGCTTCCCCGCAGGCCTCGTCTCCGTCACAGTGTTCGTCCGGGCCCGAGGGGCGACCGATCTCATGCGGCGGCATCTCCCCGAGGTTCTTCAGCACTTCGTGCCAGTTCTCGAACGTCACGACGGCGTGCCGACGGTGCTCCGTGGTTCCCAGGTGCTGCATCCAGCCCCAGTGCTCCTGCTTGCCGATGCTGATGTCCTTGAACCGCTGCGGGTAGGCGCCGTGGGCCCAGTCCGGCGCCGATTCTGAGGTATCGGCAGGCGGCTCCAGTTCGGACGGGTCCATCCAGAGCTCGGGCGGCAGCACTCGTCGGAGATCCTGCACGTCCAGGTTGGAGCCGATGGTGACCAGACCCGTGTAGTTCGTGCTGCACTCGCCCGGATGCTTCTGGAAGGTGATGATACGGCCAGCCATGCCGTACCTCGTGTCGCGGAAGATGCCGACGCAGCCGCGCAAAGGCTTGCCGCGTCGACGGATGCGCGCCGTCTGCTCGGACTCGTGGCTGTGCAGATTCACCACGTGGTAGAAGTTGTGGCGGCAGATCTGCGATGAGCCCTTCGAGTGGTACTTGAAGCAAGACGGGCTGCAGACGTGCACGGCGCAGCCGATCACGAGGTCGCGCGCGTGTTTACACATGGCTCTGATCCAGTCATCGGACGGCAGCGCCTGCCGGAACTCGTCCATGGCGCTCTGCGCGCTGTGACCGAGCCGGAACGTCGGCACTTGTCCCGAGGGAAACTCGTTCAACTTCGTGGACCACAGGCTCTTTTTCTTCTCCATCTGCTCCTCCCGCCAGGTGTCCAGGTCCACCTCGTTGCCCTCTTCGTTGCGCAGTGGCAGCTTCGGGCGCCATGCTTCCTGCTCCATCTCGTCTTCCTCGATCTTATCTGGGCGCCAGAAGTAGAGCTCCTGGTCGCCCTTGCTCTCATCCAAGTCGAGGCGTTCCGCCGGGACAGTCTCCCGCTCGCCGTCAGCGCCAGACTGCCCGCGCTCTTTCGGGCCGAGAGGGAGTTCCTCGACCTTCAGGTAGGGCGGCAGCGGGCCGGCCAGGTCGCCTCGCAGGAACCCCGCATACTCCGAGACCGCCGACTCCTGCACCGACGCCACCGCGTGCACGAGCTCGCGCATCCACAACTCCACGCGTTTCTTGAATGTGGCTCGGTCTCGCATCAGCGTGCTCAGCAGCTCCTGCATCGAGATGAGCACGAGCCAGACGAGGACGTGGGGATGGAGGGAGCCGCGGCCCTGAGCCTCGATGGCTCCGAACGCCGCCGCAAAGGGACCCGTGATGCTGTCCTCGAAAAAGTCCGCCGCGAAGCTGTCGAAGCAGCGCGCTCCGGAGCTCTTGCGCGCCGCGCCGCGACGCCAGCCGACGACGTCGGAGCGGATCCCGAGAACGTGGATGAAGAAGAGCCGTACCATCAGCTCGAACACCAGCGTCTTACCCACAGGGTCACGCGCGAGCCTCTGGACCATCTCCCTGTACGCGGGGTTCAGGTTCGTGATCCGCTCGTCGAAGTGGTACTCCTCCCCCTGCACCACCAGCAGCAGCGGCTGCTTCGTGTCGGCCAGGTTGGGGGTCAGGAAGACCAGCGGCGGGCCGAAGCGCAGCGTATAAGCAACTCCCTCGCGGTGCAGGAGCTTGCGGTGGCCGTTGGACCCGAGGATGCCCGAGGCGCAGCGCTGCATGGAGGACAGCGCAATCTGCAGCATCTGGGGGACGTCCTTGTCGCTCATCAGTCCCTGCAGCGTCACCTTCTTGCCCTTCTCGTGCATTTTCAGCATGGCGTCCTGGATGTCCTCGGGTTTGAGCTCCTGGAGTTTCCTTGCGAGCCCGAAAGCGCCGGGCATCTTCAGGGCCGCGTGCACGCTCTTCGTCGTCTCGGTCACGCGCCAGAACGAGTGCATCAGATGCAGCACCTGCCAGGAACATCTGAAACGGTTGACCTTCGCCGCCACGTAAGGCTTCTCCTCGCCGGGCAGCGTGTACTCCAGCTCCTCCCTGCGCAACAGGAACGTGATCCACTCGACCACAGACAGCGGGTGGGGCTGATTCTCATGGCCCCAGGCGCAGTCGCCATAGCAGAAGTCTGTGGGCCTCGCAATGCTCCAGTAACTGGGATGCCACCAGGAAGCCGGATCTTTCCCTGTGGGAACTCGCAGCTGCGCGCGCGCGCGCCTCGGCTGCCCCTCGGGCGCTGCGCCCGCTCCCGCGGCAAGCCCCGCTGCAACGCGCGCCTCTGCGTCGCCCGACGCGACGCGCTCCGCGACCTCAGCCGCGCTCGGTGGCTGCTGCTGCTGCGTCTCTGCGCGGGTCGGCGTCTCCGCCGTCGCCGCGGCAGAGGTTGCTTCCCCGCGCGACTTCTCTTCCTCTTGGCCCGCCGCGTGGACTGCCTCGTCGCCCATGTCGTAGTCTTCCTGCGACTTGCAACTGACGATCTGTTGGACTCGCCAGAGCAGCCGCCGATGCTCTTCCTCTGGGGATACCTTCCGGCAGAGCTCGTGAATGTCGCGGCAGGCCTTGAGCAGCCGGTCGCGCCCGACCTCATCCAGCGCCTCGAAGCCGCCCACTTCCACCTTGGCAAACGTCTCGTTGGCCACCGCGCGGCCTCCCATCGCGCTCGCATTCTCCAGCATGCGAAGCAGTTGTGGCAGGGTGGAGAGCTCCGCCGCGTCGGCAGTGTCGTCGTCGAGGACAGAGAGGAACGGCGTCGACTCCGCCGCGTCCGCGTCTGCCGCGGCCTCGTTCTCCTGCGCGCCCGCGGTCGTCGAGGAGGCGGGCCCTCGCGCCTGGGTATCGTCCTCGTCGCCCGGATCGACCTTGACGAAACGGGCGCACGCCAGCATGCAGGATGGAACCGCGCGCTCCTCAGGCAGGGCGTCCTTCAAGTCAGTCCTGTACTTCACCTTGTCGTCGTTGTAGACGTAGTTGGTGGCCTGAAGACGCCGGGCCTGCACGTCGAACTCCTCTCTGCAGACCTGGAGCTCCACCTCCTTGCGGAGCCGCTGCCTTGCCATCTCCTCCCGTCGTCTCTCTGCCTCCGCGTCGTCGCCGTCGATGGCCGCCTGCTCCTCCTCCGCGGGCCGCTCTGGCCCCGTGAACACCGCCGCGAAGGTATGCTGTAGCACCTCTTCCTCGGGCGGGAAGCTCTGCATGTCGTCGGCGATGTTCCCGTTCGGGAACGCGACGGCGGTGCCCTGCATCCCCTGCTGGAGGAACTGCTGCGTCCACGTCTGCGCGTGCTGCCTGGCTCTCTCGTCGACGCCCTTGCTGGACAGGTAGACCTTCATGGAGACCACGGGGCCCAGTGCGAGGAGGAGCTGGTGGCCCAGAGACGCGTCCCGGAACACGGGCTCGTGTCGCCCGAGCCACAGGTAATTGGAAAGAGCGCTGGGCGAGAGGCGAGGTGTCGGTCCCTTGTAGCAGTCCTTGCAATTGTGGCAGACGTAAACGTGCTTCGCGCCCGCGCAGGCGCCCTCCGGGACGCGCCGCTTGTGCATGAGCACCGGCGTCGTCATCATGGTCTCCCCGTCCGGTCCCAGGTGCGGGAGGTCCACGCTCGAGGCGAGCAGCTGTTCCCAGGGTATCAGATCCCACTGCTCGTGGTACCATTCGGCTGACAGCAGGTGTGCCACCTTCGCTGGGTTCTTCATGAAGCAGTTCGGCCCCGCGATGAACTCCTGCGTGAGCTCGTCGTTCCAGTACTGTACCGCGCAGAAAGCGCAGGCGACGTACCGGCGGGGCTCGGGCGCAGGCTGCTCCTCCGCTGGCGGCTGGTCCTCTTCGGTCGCCTGCGCGATGTCCGGGATGAATCCCCTCTCTATGGCGGCGACGGCGTCCAGGTCCCGCGGGTCGACGTCATGATGGCCGTCGCTGGCGAGCCGTCGATACAACGCGCACCAGAAGTGGGCATGGCTGCGCGGAGGGGCTTCGTCCAGCTTGGCGAATGCTGAGACCTGGTATGATTGGGCGAAGTGCATGGGGATCCTGCGCTTCCCTGCGGTTTCCACGAAGTGGGGCTTCTCGCTCTCCAAGCTGAGCCACGCCTCCCGCGCGCGCTGGTCACCCCCGTGCACGCGCCGAACGTGCTTCTGCAGAGCCTCTTTGGTCGGGTAGGATGCCTCGCAGAGATGGCAGGCGCGCGGCAGGCATGGCGGCGCCTCCCCGCGAGGCTCTCGGCGCAATCGCGGCGGCATGGCCGCGGCGCCCGCAAGTCCGCAGTCTCGCGGGCGAGCGGGCCAGTCGGCGGCGTCCATGTGCGCCCGCATGGTCGCCGTGGCCGCGGCGGGCACTGCGACGTGTCCCAGGGCGGTCGCCAGCGCCGTGCCCGCGCCCGCCACCGCGTTCATGGATGCGTCGTTTACCAAGAGGAGCTCGTCCAGCCGAGTGGCCACGAGCGCCAGGCTCCACGTGCCAGACTGCACGCGCGCCTCGGCGGCGCGGATCTCCTCCTCCTCCACAACCCCCAGCGCCTCCTGCAAGCGCTCGCCAGTCATCTGATGAGCCTTCTGGGGGTAGGAGCAGGTAGCGAAGCCACTCGGAGCTGCAGTCGGCGCCGACGTAGGACGGGACCTCGGGCAAGTTGTTCAGGAGATCGCCCGCCACCAGGCGCGGCTCGGGGAGGCGCGTGACCAGGAGGCGCAGGCAGACGAACACGTCGCCGAGCCACCTCCGGCTCTTCTCGGCCTCGCGGAAGATCTCCTGCTCCGTGCGGAAAGCACCCACAGGGCACGTCTCTGCCTGGTCATTGTCCAGGTCGCAGCGCTTGCCGTCGGAGTTGTCGCCAGCCTTCTCCGCGGGTATCTTGCGCAGCTGCTGAATCGCGGTGCCCTTGCGATTCTGGCGGAGGTCCTCGCGATCCTGCTTCCGCCCGTCGCGGTTCTGCTTCCGGCCCTTGCGGTTCCGCTCATCATCGCGCTGCTTCTTCTTGCGGGCGGCATTCCGCCCCGCTAGCATGCCCCTTTAACCGGGGTTCGGAACGCCGAGGAAGCCGCGCAGGGGCCAGGAGGCTGCTTCCCCTTGAGCCTGATGCGCTTCAACGGAGGGCCATCGTGGTTGACTCGCCCCGTGTCGACTGCCGCCGGCTTGCCCAGGAGCTTCTGGCGCTTCACCGGGGGCGCGTCGTCGTCGTCGCCGGCGTGCACCAGATGCGGGCTCAGGCTCGCCACTGACACCTCGGGGTCTCCCACGCGCTCGAGGAAGCAGATCTGCGGATACTGGTCGGGGCAGCACTCCCGGGCACGCACGACCGCCTCGCGGTCCAGGTCGTCGACGTCGTACCACCTGTCGTCCGCCGCACGGAAGGAGGCGGTGAAGTGCCCCTGGTCGATCACGCCGGCCCCCGGCACGTGTCCGCGGTTGCAGTAGTGGACGCAGGCACGAAGGCGATACACGGCGCGCTCCCTGCGTTCGCAGCCGTCCGCGCAACAGGCGCGCAGGTCGACGAGTCCTCTCTCTCCCCAGGTGACTGGGCAGAAAGAGTCGCCGTCGCTGTCCTCCGACTGAATCCACGACAGGATCTCCTCGTCGTCCGACTCTCCGCTCCCCTGTATCTCCATGATTTTAGACTGCGGCAGGCGAATGGCCAGGGTCGCCGGGGTTGCGCGAAGCTTCATATCCTCGGCCGACAGCAACTCCTGAATAACAGCGGGACCGTCGATGGGGCTCTGCGTCGCCAGGTTGCCGAGACGCGTGGCTGTGTTCACGCGCTCCCTCGGCGTGAGCACGTCGTCTGACCGGAGAGGCATTTCGGCCCCGCGCAGCCCGGGCGCGTGAGCGGCGAAGCACGCGGCGCCCATCCCTGTCTTGTCCAGCAGGAAATTAGCAGAGCCGCAGGGTCGTGCTGCGCCTTGAAGTCGAACCGGAGTGAAGCGTCGCGTGTACCACGCGATGCACTGTCGACCGCATCGACCAGTCGGCACGGCGCGAGGACGTCCCAGTGCCATGGTTTCGCCTCTGCGGGCTCCGCGACTCCGCTGGTGTAGTTGCGGATGAGGTCCTGGAGCGCCTCGCGCAACTCGCTCGCGCGGTCCATCTCCAGCAAGTGCGTGCGAGGCCCCGCGCAGTGAACGAGGCAGGTCACCACGCTGTTCAGGTAGCAAGTGTTTTTCATGTTCACAAGGAACGGGAACGGGGAAGAGCCGCAGTGCGAGTCGCCCTCGCCCATCTGCGTCTGGATGCGGGGAAGATGGCGCGGCGGATCCACCTCGTGCCGCCTCGCGAAGTCCGCCGACTCCCGCTCTGCCTCCTGCTGCCTCTCCAGCACGAGCGCCAATGGCCCGATCTCCGCCGGGATTCTGCGCAGAAGCCTGTGCGCCTCGGCAGTGACCGAGTCGGGGTCGCCCTGTGCTCTGTCACGCAAGCGCTCGAACCTGCGCGCGACATTCTTCTCATCGCCATGCGCGCAGCCTGCGCTTCGCGGCAAGCGGCCCTAGTTGATCGCACGTTCCCAGCAGTCATGGCAGGTCTGCAAATAGTTTTCCTTCTTTCCCTGACCTGCAAGCAAGGAGCTCCGCCGAGGAGTGAGGTCGGCGGTGGGCGACAGTAGTTTTTGACATACTTTCCGGGCAGCTCGAGCGCCAGGACTGTCATTTTTGCCGCAAGTACCCCCATGGAGTTGGCGGCGCGCCATGGCTGCCTGGGCCTGCTCGATACTTGGCCGGCCCAGAGCCGCGTCAATTTGTTTCATCAGCGCAAGTTCTGTCGCGCCCAGCTTCTCTTTGTGCCGCTTTCCGCGGAGCTTTTTGAATTGGAAATAGAGTTTCTTCTCGTCGTCCCTAGTCTGCGATGGCAATTTACCAGCGTGCTCCCGCACGTGCTCCACGACGCGTTGCAGCACTCCCACTGCTCTATCTGAACTCTTCACCGATTGCTGCACTCCAGTAACACCCGCGACCGCCGCAGGTTTTCTCTTCGGCGGCATGCCCGTCGAGGAAAGCGGTTGCCTGCAGAGTTGGCCCGTCTCAGGGGCTGCGACGGGGCGAACTGGGAGTGCCCGATGGGCGACCCCTCGCTTGAACCAAAAAACGACGGGGCAGGATAAGGAAAGGCGATGAGAGGGAAGCCCGTCGCCCTTCACGGCGATGCGATGACGCTGGCGGAGAGGACAGCGACGGTGACATGGGCACCGACGGTGGAGATTAGATCTGTCTTTCGCAGTGCTGCACTGCCGATGACGCCTCGCGCTTGCCGGGGCTGCGAGCACGAGAGTACGTGGGAAACGATATCAGTCGAATGAAATGCGATGGCGACGCCCTGCTTGGCGCGCGCTGGATGCTGGAGCGATGGCGCGTCGGTGATGATGCGACCGACGGCCTGCGAAAAACTCGCGAGGCCTGGAGCTCGTCTCGCAGGGGGCATGCTGTTTATTTCCGCTCAAGCGCCCTGCAGATGATATGCAACGCGCCATCATATTTTACGCAGCGTGACCTGTCAGCCAGCGTGCTCCGCGCCATTTGATCCAATATAAAAACAGGCACGCTCAATCCAATCAGAGCTGAATGCATTGGCGCGGTCACCCTGCGTGGGAATGCCATATCGGTCGGACATGTCAAACGTCAAACATAAGTAATGAATATGAGGGTCCGACGGACAACCTCCCGCTTCAGCCAAGTGCGTTGCGCATCGCAACATCGGCGTTCTCATGTCGGTCTGGAACAGCAGCCCAAGTCAACGGGGCATCACTGTTCAAACACGTCGAATGCGGTGACCTAGAAAGTGACTGTGAATCTTAGCGATGGCGCTCTCCGTCAACGGGCAACCTGTTTTCGAACATGTGCAGTAGTGGGACTGCGGGCGGCGATGCTGACGAGGATGGCACCGACGGCGCAAGAAACATCGACGTCGGACATGCCACCTGGTTCTCAGGAGCGCCGCGCTGCTTCTGACGCGTGCGCCAGCAACCTGATGACGGAGGCGCACCCGACGATAATCTGAAATCATGCGGTTGTCAAATCGGAAGCCCCGAAGGCGACGCCGCCGAGACGGCGCGCCCTCCCTAGCGGCCCGATGGAGGGCGCTATTTTCGAGGATGCTCGCGCCGACACCGACGCGGCGCATGGTCTGATGATTGTCGGAGGGCCCGAAGGGCAACCTCGTTGCGCTTGCGAACCTGGCCCTCGTCATTTCCCCCAGTCTGTCTGCGATTTGACCGCTCTGGATCAGAACTCCCGGCGACAACAGCAGGCGAGACCTTAGTTAACGAAGAGTTTAAGCGGGTCCGACGGACGACCGCGGCGCAGAATCAAAGTGGCATCTGCGGGCCCGAGGGGCGACCGCTCCGGAACACAAGGGTTCACAGAATCAAAAATGGCGGGTCCGAAAGACGACCGCTGCGCAGGTGTCGGAAGAGGAACATCGGCGGGCCCGAAGGGCGACCGTGCGAGCATAAATGCGGCCAACACGCATTTGAATCACAGACAAGTAAGCACGTGAACATGAGAAATCGAAACTAACGACCCCGCAGCCAAGGGGGGGCGGTTCGGGCACCCCGGAATGCAGCACGATCGACCACAATGGTGGCCATTCAATTTAATCTGTGTTGCTTTCACCTCAGATGCCGTCGTCGTTGCCGCCGCTGCCGCTGCCGCCGCCGCCGCCGTCGTCGTCGTCGTCGTCGTCGTCGGCGTCGAAGTCGGCGTCGTCGTCGTCGTCGCCGTCGCCGTCGCCGTCGCCGCAGCCGCCGCCGCCGTTGTCGTCGTCGTCGTCGTCGTCGTCGTCGCCCTGGTGGTCGTAGTCGTCGCAATCCTCGTCGTCGTCCTCGTCGTCGTCGTCGTCGTCCTAATCGTCCTGGTCATCGTCCAGGGAGCACCTGCCGTTGGCATGACAGCCTCTGCGACCGCTGGGGCAATAGGGCGCCTTTTGGGACCACCAGGACGCCTCAATGGCGCGCTTTTTCAAGTTACTCGCCGTTATAAATTTCTTTGAGCTATAGGAATAGTAGCACGTTGATACCACAAGCACAATTTGATAAACTCGTCAACTTAATACTAATTCTAAGAAACCACAAAAAAGCAACACACCCTCCAGAAATCAGCCTCGATTTCGCGTGTGTGTGTAAAGCAAGTTGTTGTCTTCACATCGTAGGCAAACATATGCACTTGAATATAAACCCGTAAACAAAACGAATATCTCTGCGTGCGGACAACCCTAGCCGGGAAACGCAAAAGTAATCCCGGTGGCGCCTCAATGACACACTATTTGTCGGCATGCTTTACTACTTTTTCAAAAGAGTACAAGAAATCATTAGCACGTGGGCAACGCAAGTGCAACAAGCCAACCGGGTTATGTTCCGAAGCGCCTTGGAAACACAGCAAATGGCAACACACACCCCGCAAATCAGCCTCAAAATCGGGGAGGTGTGTAAACCAACTTTTTCTACACGGTGTTAACAAACATATGCGAATTTGCATAGACCAGTGAACGACACGAACGTATGCGAATGCGGACAACCCTAGCCGGAAAACGAAAACCGTCACCAATCTCAACAAAAACATACAAACGCAAACGCGGATGTGTTTAACAACCAACTGTCAATGCGTAACCTGTTGCCGAAAATTTGCGATTGTGGTGCCTTCCAGAATGGTGACGTCAGAATTGACAGTGTAAAGGTGACGATGGTGTTCTGTCAACGAAAACATGCTTCTGAAAAATTGCGATGGTGGCGCCCTTCAAAATGGTGACATGAGAAATGAATATGGAAATAGTCGGTGCTGTCAACGAAACCATGTTTTTGAAACTTTGCGATAGTGGCGCCCTTCAGAATGGCGACGTGAGACACAAATATAAACAATTGGCGACGGTGCCCTGTCAACGAAACATGTTCTTGAAAATTTGCGATAGTGGCGCCCTTCAGAATGGTGACGTAGGAAATGCATGTGCAAAAATCGTCGACGATGCTTTGTCAACGAAACCATGTCAGGATGGTAACACAGGAAATGAATTTGGCAAATCGGCCACGTTGCTCTCAGTCAACGGGAAACGAGATTGTCCAAATTTGCGATAGCGACGCCATTCAGGAAAGTGACCCAAGAGGAAGAGCTTGTTGGTAGCTGTCAGAGGGCCCGATGGGCAACCTCGACGCATTCCCAGACGGCGATGGCGCCCGCCGCGCAGCAAAGGCGCGCAACCGTTGCTCGCGGTCAAGAACGTGGAATGATAAGAGGGCCCGATGGGCAACCTCGCCTCTGAGCTACACTTTGCTCCACTTGACATTGCAATTCAAGCGACGGTGCCCGCTTCCCAAGCGAGCGCCAGCGCCGCGGGCCACGGCGGCTCGCTCTTACTTGTGGTGGCAGCGCCTTCTTCCTGCGATCTGCGCGGTTGTCTCACCTGAGCGCGGCCACCTCTGCGCTGGAGGCAACCTCATCCTCCTGTTCCTCCTGTTTCTCCTCCTCCTCCTCCTCTCCGTCCCTCTCCCCATGCGAGATATTCTTTAAGCAGCAATCCAATTCCGCGATGCCGCGGTGGCTGTGGTTATAGAGCGCCTGACAGGCAACCTGGAAGCGCGGTTAGCGATGGCGCAGGCTTGCGCGCGTCGGCAATTACGCCTCGGCCCCGCGCGCTGCTAAGACCGCGGAGCAGGCGCCTTTCTTCTGCCACCAGTACGGCGCTGCAGGCCGACAGTATGCGTGAATATATGTGTTAGAGGGCCCGATGGGCAACCTCGAAGGACGGCAGCGATGGCACGAACCGCAGAGCAAGGGCACGCGAGCATTGCTCCTGGTCGGGAATCTGAGTCCCCGTGGTGCCTCACTCCGCTGGCCACCCACCAGCAGCCCTCGAAAGTGGCGGCAGTTTCAAATATAGCAGCCCCCCAGAGACGGCGAGGTCTAATCTGAGTCCCCGTGGTGCCTCACTCCGCTGGACCCACCAGCAGCCCTCGAATGTGGCGACAGTTTCACAGATCGCAGCCCCCCAGAGACGGCGAGGTCTAATCTGACTCCCCGTAGTGCCGCACACCGCTGGACCCACCAGCAGCCCTCGAAAGTGGCGACAGTTTCACAGATCGCAGCCCCCCAGGGATGGCGAGGTCTAATATGAGTCCCCGTGGTGCCTCACCCCGCTGGACCCACCAGCAGCCCTCGCATGTGGCGACAGTTTCACAGATCGCAGCCCCCCCAGGGATGGCGAGGTCTAATCTGGGTCCCCGTGGTGCCTCACTCAGCTGGACCCACCAGCAGCCCTCGACAGTGGCGACAGTTTCATAGATCGCAGCCCCCCAGGGATGGCGAGGTCTAATCTGAGTCCCCGTGGTGCCTCACTCCGCTGGACCCACCAGCAGCCTTCGAAAGTGGTGACAGTTTCACAGATCGCAGCCTCCCAGAGATGGCGAGGTCTAATCTGGGCCCCCGTGGTGCCTCACTCCGCTGGACCCACCAGCAGCCCTCGAAAGTGGCGACAGTTTCACAGCATCGCAGCGACCCCCCCCCCCCCCCCGAGATGGCGAGGTCTAATCTGGGCCCCCGTGGTGCCTGACTCCGTTGGACCCACCAGCAGCCCTCGACAGTGGCGACAGTTTCGCAGATCGCAGCCCCCCAGGGATGGCGAGGTCTACTCAGAGTCATCGTAAAACGTCACTCTGCTCGCCCCACAGCAGCCCTCGAAAGTGGCGACAGTTTCACAGATCGCAGCCCCCCAGAGATGACGCAAAAGGCAAGAGACAAGAGGAGGAGCAAAGGGAGGAGGAGGAGGAGGAGGGACGCAAGAGAGGAGAGCAGGAACGAAGAGAGGAGGAGAGGGGGCGGGAGGAGTGGAGACCACAGTGCTCTATGCAAAACGAGAACCCAACGCGGGAGGGTTGGAAAAAAAAAACAAAATCAGAAAATCTTTGAAAATTATGAAAATTGTAGGTTTTCAATGGATTTCCAATGATTTGAAGCAACAACATATAATAACACAGCATTTCCAAGGTTTTGAGGCCGA